CCGGGAGGCCAGTGGTCAGAGAGAAGGCACTCGCTACACAAGGCCTGGCGAGACTTCCGGTGGGAGGGTGGAACGTTCCGGATCTGGATTATGGGAATGCTGGCATAACTACAAACTTCCTGAATCACCAACTGCACGCTTACAGGGGGTGGGTTTTGTGTAAATCGTACCTCAGCGAGGCGGACCGCAAAACTGCACTGACTGTATTTGACTGCATGCTGGGGATGGAGATCAGTGAAAACACGAAGCCAGGGTGGGGTGTGCAAGGACGTGGGACCAACAGCTACGGTGTCGTTCAGCCCCCAGCTCTGGTTCCCAGAGAGGAAAAAAGATCCCTGTTTGCAAACGGACAAGGGGAAATCAGGGAATTTATGGTCACGTAAGAATTTTATTACTTTTGGCAAACAGCCATTACATTAAATAGAAACACTTGTTTTTAGAAAGAAAAGTTGTAAAGTTTTAGGCCGAATGCAATTAGTTCTGAGCCTATATCAATACTTGGGAGCCATATTTATGAAGGTATTTACAACACATTAGTGTAAGGGACCGGTGTTACCTAGTAACTTTTAGGTACTTTTAACTATTTCCACTTTCGGATGAAAAATAAATTTCAGATATTCAAGACAAAGACAGCCGCTTGAAGTGACAGGCATATCTATCCCAAGTAATCTCAGCTGTCCAGTTACCCTTTTATAACCTACTCGTTTAAATTCATACCAGCAACTCAGGTATGATCATAAATATTTCAAAAAGCTCATTCCCTTAACTTCACAGAGGAATCTAGTGGCACAAAGTAAATTATTAGTTAAGACAAAAGTGTTTTCCTTTGGCTTCTGTAGTGATGAAAGACAGCTCGAAGAGACCTCCCCCAGTCTCAGTTCTTAATCTACAAACAATATGCTTTCCAGTGATTTCTGGGGTCGCAGGAAAACAGGGCCGTCTCCAAGTGCCTGTGTTTGAGCAGGTCCCCCAACAGAAGTGGGAGGCCAACAGGAGAGCCAAGGCAACCCTAAAAGCAAAGGCCACGATCAACACAAGACTGGATAACCAAGCTGAAGACCCACAGCAAGCAAGAAGCCTGCAAGACGGGACTGTCCGAGTTGGTCTGTGTCCTACAGAAGCAAAGGCAAAATTCTTCTGAATGAGCACGTTCGCACTTAGAACCTCTGGAGTCCCAGCTCAGTCAGGTGTATGTCTGTGCCACAAAAATCACCAAACACAGGGGCTGGGGATTTAGCTCAGTGGCACAGCGCTTGCCTGGCAAGTGCGACGTCATGAGTTCGATTCCCGGTACCGGAAAAAAATCAAAAAAGAAAAAAAAATTATTTAAAAAAAAAAAAATCACCAAACACACAAGAGTGACGTGTACTAAGTTTAACAGAGATACAAACTTAGACCCACAGTGACTTTACATACTACAATTATCAGCTATAGGATATAAAGATAACTACGTATGAAATGTCCAAAGAAAAAGATAGAAATCAATAAAAATTCATCAGAAATGACCAACCATATCTAGTAGAATAAAACAGAACTTCTGGAAATGACAAACAGGTAACTAACACAGACAGTTCAGTGGCTTAGCAACAGACTGTACCAGGCTGAAGATAAAATCAGTAAGCAATACAGCGGTTTAAGGTATCAAGATATAACACAATATTCAGAGTCCATGGCTGAAATTTTCAGGAAAAGATATGTAAACAGATAGAATGTGTACTGGTAGAACAAATACACACAAAGCTGTATTGAGACATAAACAGTGACACTACAAGTCAGAACAGAGGGAAGAAAAGATTGTAGAGGAAAGAAAAGAGAATTAGCAGGCGGTCTGATACGTTCCCGCCAGCTTGAACCACCAGTGGGATACCCGTGCCTGCCCCAGCAGGTGGCTTGTGTCCCTCCTGGTCATGTACGGGACGGGGACGGTGCAAGCTGCCCGGCAGCGAGACACACGAATTACAGGCTTGTCCTAAAAGTGTTAAACAACAAAGACTAACAAAATTTCTAAAGACACAAAATGACACTTTGAAATATTAGGCTGTTTACAGAAAAACCACAGTGAAAGTATACACCACAGAGAGCAGGTATGTGCAAAGAGAGACAACAGAAAGATTAGCATCCTGAACGCTGTCAGCAAGCCCTAAGTAAGTGAGGAGGACATAGACAAAGGCGGGAAATGGCCCACAGGGCGCTCAGGCAGCCGCTGAGCAACGGTGCACTTGCCTCGCACGCTCAAGCGGGGGCGCTCATGTCCCACCGCCGCCCCTCAAAATGCATTTCACAGAAGCAGGATGACGAAAGTTGAAAACATGCTCGAGCACCAGAAAAGCGTAAAGTAAAACAGCAGCATTTAACACCTACTATATCGGCAAGAATTCGGTCTCACAATACCAAGTGCGTGAGAAGGCAGGTTGTGAGCTGACACGACCATCTGGGAAACAGCTTTGCTTTATCTTACAAAACTCGTAAGCCAGGCATGACGGCACACGCCTGTAATCCTGGCACTTGGGGAGGCTGAGACAGGAGGATTGCCGCAAGCTTGAGGGCAGCCTGGACTACAGAGTGAGTTCCAGGCCAGTCTGGACTACACAGTGAGACCCTGTCTCAAAACAAAACAAAAAACTCATAAAGCTGATCAAACATATATCTTAAAAAAAAAGAACTTTGCTTTTAGATATATGTATTGAAGGAAGTTCTTGCATATGCACAAGAAATCGTATATAAAATTCACTTCATCACTGTAAAGTCAAAGCAAAAAACCACCCAACATTATAAACTGTAATCATGAGCTATGGACCTTTTTCTAGTTCTTTGATTTTTTTGAGTCAGGGTCTTACTATGTGGTGAAGGCTGGCCTCGGAGCTGAAGATCTTGAACAAGGTAATTAATTATGTCTCTGAATCTGTAGCTATAAGATGCAGAATTAAAGATCAAAACTTTTATAAAGCCACTGGTAAATGATAGCTAACACGCCCCATTTCTATGACTGATTATTTTGTGTGTGTGTGGTGCTGGGGATCGAACCCAGGGCCCTGTGCATGCAAGGCAAGAATTCTACCACTGAGCCATATCCCAGCCCCCCATTTCCACGACGGCAATGTAAGAAATCCTTGGGTTTGGAGGTTTAAGAGTTAAATCTCGAAAGTCCCCCATGTCTCACGTGTAGAGGTGGGGCTCTGGGGAGGTGACGGAGGGGAGCACTGGGAGGTGACCGGGAAAGTGCTACATTCCAGTCCTGGGATGGCCAGCCCTTTTGAGCTTTCAGTGAGAACACACAGCCTGCTGCCGCATGCCGTAGGTCACCACCACCATACTGGTCCCTGCGGACTGAACCCCAACCTGCCCTGCTCTGGGTATCAGGAACTTTGTCCCAGCGACGAGACTCCTAATATAAGGGTGAAGCTTAGTACAGCATGGACTTAAAATGGGTTCTGTCCCCGGCACCAGAAAAAAAACAAAACTACTCCACTCCCGCAAAGGGATTCTGGTAACAAACTGGTAATAACATTAGGTACAAGTCCAAGAGACTCTGCAGCAGAATCTAACGGGGTCTGTAAGAAACTGCGCCGAGGTCCTCGTCTGACCACGTCCAGCTGAGAAGGGCATCTACATGCAGAGAGCTGGACCTGGTGTGCGGGTGTTTCCTGTCCCCGCGCTCTGCGGTCCTGGGGAGGTTCAGGGACAAAGCGAGCTTCAAAACCAACAAAACCGAGGCCTTACATTCGAACACGGTGACTCTTCCAAGAGGCTTCTATACACTTCATTCACTCATGTGCTCAGGGTGATTTTTTTATTTTAATTATTTTAAAATTTCTTTTTCAGGGTGATTTTTTAAAAACTTTCTTGTAATTGGTTTTTTTTTTTGGTCCTTTTGAGACAAGGTCTTGCTATGCAGTTCAGGCTGGCCTTGAGCTCACTTTGTAGCCCAGGCTGGTCTTGAACTCGCAACGATCCTCCTGCCTCAGCCTCCTGAGTGCTGGGATTACAGGCGTGCGCCACCACGCCTGGCTCTTTCTTGTAATTGTTTACTCTCAAGAACATTTCGCCATGGAGGAAACCTTCATTCTTTGAGAGTAGATTTCATTCACGAAGTACTTTCAGCCTCGCCTGATGAAGCAAGCACACAGACCCATAACCAAGCTGAGCCCCTGATCAAAATTAATGTACGACTCCGATGAGGCAAATTCTTGGGAGCGATTAACAATGGTTACTCTCAAAGATGAGCTTTTAGAGGCTTCCAGCAACGGTAATACTGCTTTAAGAGAAAAACCACAGCCTCAAAAGATGACTTGGAAGGACAACACCCAATGTGAGCACGGAGTCATTTCCCGACAGTACAAATTGAACGTTAATGACGCAGCCGCTCAAGGGTATGAAACTGCTTGCATCTGCTGCCCTTGACCTGTCATTTCTGTAAGGTAACACAAAACTTTATTTTCAGCTAAACATAAATTGTTTTTGTCTTTTTTGAGACAGAGTCAGCTGAATTCACTAAGTAGCCCAGGCTGGCCTCAAATTGACACCATCCCCCACCCTCAAGGCTCCCCAGTGCTGGGATTACAGGTGTGCGCCCCCACACCCAGCATAAACATCCTTTACATGGAAGAAATGTTACAAGCGAACTACTAAATCAAATTTGTATTTGAGGGACAGAGAATATTACATAGTTTTGATAGGCTTCCATACCAGCAATCAAGTAATGAGATCTTACAGACAGTTCCTGCTAGGTATGCACACGTATACCCTGAGATACAGTTGTATGATTGTGATAGACGGATCCCAATTATTTGAAATTAGTATTTGGTAGTATTCATAATTCTGATGTGCTGGAGTATTATGAGACTGGTTTATGTATTGGTTTAAGAAAATATTATGGAGAAATTTCACCATCACTTCTGATCTCATGTAAAGGGGACAAAGACACAGCCAAGGTTAACCCAACGGTAGCTTTTAAAAGTCTGGTTTGAGAAACCATAGGAACGTTCTTCTCTAATACAACATGATTTAGATTCCAATGTATTTTCTCTTAGAGAAAAAAACCAACAAGGAAAATTCTCCAGTGTACCATTTTAAAAAGTGCTTTATACAGTATCAACAATCTCTTGGGCAGGCATTTGGGGGCATTATACACAGTTCATTTGGGACTGCCGTAGCAGTTCCTGGAGCACAAAGTTTATTCAAACACTTTAAATATCACCAATTAGTTACACAGGAGTATAGTGAAATTATTTTAAAGTGGCAGTGCAACACAGTACAGCAGTAGCTTTAATGACTAAATCAGAGAGTTACACGAAGAATCTAGAAATATCTCTTGAAGAAAATAAGACACAAGGCCCGGTTCCGTGGCCCAGAGGCTGAGGCAGAAGGATCACCTGAGCTCAGGAGTTTGAGGATTGCCTGGGCAACAGGGCAAGACCCAGCTCAAAAGGAAAAAGAAAGAGAGGATATGAATGTGTACAGTTCCCGTTTATTCTGCATTTCTTATTTCAGCTGTACCTCGCGTCACGTTCCTGGTAGGTGCTGCTAACCTCGGAGGTCAAAGCCACAGCGCGCTATCACGAACCACTTCTCTGACCACCTCTCAGCGGCATCTCCTCTCAGCCCCAGTCTCACTTCCCGTCTCCAAGGTGTTCCTGTCCAACAGAGGCAACACGCCAACTCTGCTATTTCTCTCTTCCTACCGCCGTGCGCACATAATGCGGAAGACAGCCGCGCGTTCCCTCCGTTTCGCTTTACTTCCGCACGTCTCGTATTTTGTGGGGGGCGCGGGTAGAGACGGAGGATGTTAGGTGACTGACTACTGCGCCATACGCCAGAGAGAGAAATGTCCCACACCCACCTATACGCACAGTAGGCAGACGCGTGTGAGGGCGAAAAACATCCTAAGCGATCGTAGCAAACAATCAGACCCTGACCCCTGAAAATAAACATGACGCATACTAGTAACCACGGCCAGACACGCACTACAGCACGTGAACTTCATCAGACGTGCAAACAGCGGAAGCCGTGTTTCACAGCTTACGCTCCGCACTCGCCAGCTGTGCCTGGTCCAGACAGCGCTTCTGGGGGTAACTTAAACATGGCCGCACTTAGGCCAGCGAGCCCCGGGACAGAAGCAGGAATGACTCAGGAACTTGCCCACAGGCCAAGAGTAGGGAAAAACAGCATGAGAACTTTGGAATTTGCTTCCGGAACTGCATTTGCCAGCGTGAGCCCTCCGGAATGTCTTCCTCTCTTTTCAGTGGGTATGCCCGGCAGCTGGCTTTTGGCATGTGGCGTTCTGCCCTCTCGCACTGACAAGTCCAGGCCCCATTCAATCAGCCGGTGACCTCTGGCTGGGCCGGGTCGGGGAGCCTCCAACGGGCCAGCTTCCTCGTGCCCCAGGTAACCCTGTGCAGCAGTGAGCCCGGCCGGTTCTAGGGTGCGGACGAGGCCCTGCGGGAGGATGCAAACTGCATAGCAAACAGAAAGTAGGGTACTTTTATGTTTAATAAATATTTATAGAAGTATATACAAATAATGAATAGTCATCTTCTAATGCTAGTTAAAACAATGAAAGGCTGTAATATCAGTTGGTTTATCAATACCGTGGGGTTCAAATTAACTTATAGAAATATTTTCAATTAAACTGCAATAAATACACTGGAGAGTATTAAACATGAGGAACAAAAAGAGCGGTTTCCATCTCCCTCTGGCTTTACCGACACACGTTTCATTACTGATGGACGTGAACTAACCAGTCAGCAGTCAAGAAAGAGTTTTGGTACAAATGCATTCATTTCCAAGTAACAAATCCAGCTATGTACAGTTAGAAAAACCAGGATGGTGGCAAATAACAAAATAGGAAGGTGATGAATCCTGGATTCAAGATCAAACAGGTCAAAGAAGAAGGCTCAAGGCAGCCTCCGAGCTCCCTCCGCAGAGCAGCGTATAATTGGCGCCTTCTCGGGGGCTCCCATCCGGGCACTGGATGACAGCAGCACCAAGCCTTCTCTAGTATTTCCTCAGGCTCACTTTTTGCATGAGATAGGAAAAAAAACCCAAAACCAATCTGTAGATTTGTTCAGACATAATCAGCACGGCCAAGTTTTTTGGTGCCCTAGCAATGCAAACTGAAGTCAAGGCCTGTGTCAGCTTCCAAGAACGCAGCCAACGGGCATTCAGACAAAAAGTTTTTCTACTGCTGAAAGTACCCAAGAAAGTGAAAATCATCACCTACAATAAAAGCAAGACGTAACGTCAGCAGCACCGAGTAGAACTGACTTTGAAGAGGAGCGGGTCTCCCGTGTCTGGACGTGCACACACAGGCTCTAACCTCTGCTCCGGAAAAGGAAAACAACAGATTTCATTTGGATTCAGCCAAACAGAGACTTGCAGGTTCTGGCACTATCTGAACGCCTTCTCCAGAGCAGGCCTCGTTCCAAGTTCAAGTGTCTTCCTCCCCACACCGTCGTTCTCCTAACAGCGGGACTCAAAACTCCAGCTGTCATTCAAAAAGTGGCACTCAGTCACAATACTACAGTTACATTTACATAAGTCTCTGGTTGTCATTAAAATTCAAAGGGGGTCGTATCAAAATCCTGGCTGGCTTTGCTGCCCCTTGGCAGGGACCGGGTCGGTGACGGCCGGCGTGCCAGTCACATACAGTCCACCACGTTGCTGGACCCGTGGCCTACGTCCCGAATCTGGCTTGTGAGACAGGCGCACACAGCGACGCCCGCACCAGCTCTGCAGTGAGACACAGAGCCCACGAGCTCCCACCTGGAGAGACAGAGGACAAAGGGTGTTTGCTTAAAAACAAGTATCGTTCACTCAAAGTGTGTGCGTGTGTGTGTGTATATATGTTTATTTATTTATTTTCTATACATTTTTTTGGTACTGGGACTCGAACTCAGGACCTTGTGCTTACCAGGCAGGCGCTTGTGCCTCTGAGCTATACCCCCGGCCCCGAGTATCGTTTACTCAAAGTAAATACCAGCTACAGACAGAGTCCCCAGGATGGGACTGCTTTCGAAAGGTAGCAAGCTTCCACAGGGAGATAACGTACAGTGTTCCTAAGTCTGCACTAACACTACAGCTGCAGTACAGCATCCCTTGTTAGCTGAGGTTCTGCTTTCCATAGTCTCGGTCACCTGTGGTGGGCCCCAGCCCCAAAATACTAAATGGGAAATCTCAGAAATAAACAATTCCTAAGTTGTAAACGGTATGCTGATCTGAGCGGGGTAGTGAGGCTCAAGGATCCTCCTCTGCCCTGCCTGACTGTCCAGCAGACACACGCTGGGGACGACGCTTCCCCTTGAATCCCTGGTGACCACCTCACTCCCACGCTGGCTGTGGCATGACTGCACTGGTGTGTTCACGCAACCCTTACGTAACGATGGCCCCCAAGTGCAAAGACGGGGTGCTGGCAACTTCACTGCAGTGGATGGTGCTGCTGTAATTGTTCCATTTATTACTAGTTATGTGATCTCATCTCTTTCTGTGCCTAGTTCATGAGGTAAGCGACCTTGCGGTAGCTCCGAAGCCAGGGGCTAGCTGTGGATTCAGGCCCGCGGTGGAGGTGGTCTGAACACCCCCGCGGATGAGGAGGCGGCTGCTCTTCCCTGCTTCTGGAGTAACGGTCCCGGAGCGCACACTGAGGCAAAGCAGCGGTGCGCAATCACCTGTTCAGCACCGGATCGAAGGCTTCCACCGTGTTTAAGTACGTGTTGCCGTTGTGACCGCCGACCGCGAAGATTTTGCCCATGACCGAGGCGATCCCCACCCCGCCCCTGGGCGTGGTGAGCGAGGCCACATAATCCCACTTATTGCTTCGAGGGTCGTACCGCTCCACCGAGCTCAGAGGGGAGTTGTCGTCAAAGCCACCTGCAGAAGGACATTTTAAAGCAGCGTGACGCGGCGTGAAAATGAACCACAGAATCGCCGCTCGGTATCTTGCAAAACCATCATAGAAAATGTAGTCACAAAAAGTTTCATCCCCAAACCGTCCTACCACTGCCACACCTGCTGCTAGAACTTTTCCACATTTAACTTACGATGATTCAGTTGGCAGTTTACCTCCATCCCACGATTAAAAATCTTACGGTGGGAAAAAGTGCGCTCTCTGTACCTAAGCAGATAAAGTAGAAAAAAGGACAAAAGCAGTCGTTCACACAACTGCTCCTCAGCCTCCCAGGAACAAATAAACTCATTTTTTTTCTTCATGTGTTATGTTTTTAAACAGCAAGAAGGCTCAGAAGGTTTTCCAGTTCTTCTAACGCTGTCATTGCCACTGCAACCAGAGATGGTGGGCGCTGACTGAAATTTTACGAAGTTTTGCCAAAATCCCATCTTGTCCCCATAGGCTCTCCTCCGTAGCGCATTCTAACAACGCCTTTCACATACTCCTGAGCACTAAGCGCTGCTCTGGCAGCACCTCCCTTTGCCAGGCTTCCTCTGCGCCGGAGGAACAATGGGTGTCTCCAGTGACGGCCCCCGCCTCCCGCGGAAACAGTGCCACTGTTACGTCAGCGTCTTTAAAGACAGGGCACTGAAAATGCACGCTCTCTACTGGGTCTAATTTTATTTAATCAACTGAACTGAAGTAAAGTTTACCCATTTTATATGTACAATCTGATGAATTTTGACAAACGTATACTGTAGTATTATCATCACCTCAGCCATGTTTTGGTTTTTTAGACAGGGTCCTGCTGTATATACAGCCTAGGCCAGGCTTTGATTTGTTATATAACCCAGACTGGCCTTGAACTCGTGATCCTCCTGCCTCAGCTTCCTGAGTGCTGGTATTACAGGCATGTGCCACCATGCTCAGCTTCCCATACTATGATATAAAACCATTTTTCATTATAATAAAGAATGTAGTTTTAATTATTGCTCATGTTAAAAACAAACAAATTATTGCTCATGTTAAAAATTAAGTTTTCAGTAGCTTTTCAACCCAGTGCTGGGGATTGAACAAGTTAATTTCCCACAGCCCTTTTCACTGATTCCATATTACTTTCCTAGATATAAATTTACATTAATAAAGAATTGGAGAGCCAAGCATAATGGTGCACACCTATAGTCCCAACACTTGGGAGGCTGAGGCAGGAGGACTGCTGAGAATTTGAGGTCAGCCTGGGCTACTTAATATTCAATGGGACTCTGTCTCAAAAAAAAAAATCAAGGCAGAGCTGGGCATACCAAGCAGTGGCTGAGGACATGTACTCCAACACGTACTAGGCCCCATGGCCGCGGGTTTAATCCCTAGCAAGGCAAAAAAAAAAAAAGGACTGAATTGAAGACAGAGGAACAAGGCAGGCGTGGTGCCACAATGCCTGTAATACCACACTTGGGAGGCTGAGGCAGGAGGATCACTATGAGCTCGAGGCCAGCCTGTCTTACAGAGCAAGACCGTGACTCCAAAAAAAAAAAGAAAGAAAAGAAAAGAAAAAAGAGGAAGAAATAAAACATAATGTAATCACACTGTTAGACGTGTGTACCTCAACATTTTTCTTAGTCAAACAAGTTGTCCTGTTTTATATAGGATTCGAATGGCCGAGAAGGTTTGTCCATGTTCAACCTGAGCTGCTCTTTTGTTTTTTTTTTTTGGTACCGGGACTCGAACTCATGACGTCAGGCTTCCCAGGCAAGCACTTATCCCACTGAGCTACATCCCTGGGCCCCTGTTCTTTTTTTATATCTGCCACTAAAAACAATATTGCGACTCATTTGCTGGCTATCCACAAAGTACCAGACACAGTTTAAAATGCTGACATATTTTGTCTCGAATTCTTAAATAATTTTGAAAGGTGAGGCGTGGTGATGCACACCCGTGCCCCCGCTGAGGCAAGAGGACTGCTGGAAGTTTGAGGCCAACACGGCTGGACAGCCGGGTTCAAAGCCAGCCTGCACTGCACAGCAACACCTTGTCTCAGAAAGCTCAGAAAAGAACGTCTCCGAGACAGGCATTCTCATTCCCATCTCGCTACCACAAGGGAGGCGAGCGGACACAAAAGCATGCTCTTCTTTGGGCCTGTGAAAAGCAGAGTCTGGAGCCCTCCTTGGCAAGGCAACATCTCCAGGTCATTTACATGTGTACCAGGGCTGGGGGAGGAGCTGCTCCAAAGTTCCTTCCGATTCCGCATGTCAGTCAGTCAGTCAAAAGGCAGTATGAGAACTGGTGTAGCCTCTACTCATACAAAAGAACTACTAGCTCACTTGAAGTGTTTGCGGCAGTTAGGGTTCACTGCATCCATTTGATTGGCCTGGGAGCTGACGAAGGGACTAGGAAAGCACACTGCTAGACGTGTGCGGGTAGGGCAGGAAGTGTGACGCTGGGTTCTCCATCTGGCCCCTGGCCCTCTCCTCTCTGGTGCTGTTCCCTTGGTCTGCTTCCTCGCTGCCGTGACCTAAGCAGCTTGCTCCACCAGGCCCTGCCACCAAATTCCTGCCTTGGAGCCCACTGACCATGTACTGAATCCCCTCAAACCGTGAGCCAAACTAACCCTCTCCTCCGCTAAGCTGTGGGTGTCAGCTATTTTGTCCCAGCAGTGATAAAGCTAACAGTTTCCAACATAATCTCCTTTGAAATGAACAAGTTTTAGACCTTGGAAGAGCTATTTTAGTAAAGCACATTTAGTTTACCATAACAAATACATAGGTTTCATTTAAATGCAATCTCCTGTTTTAGATGTATTTGCTATTCTTAGAAAAACACAGAGGCTGAAATTTTAAATATGGGATAAAGATTTGAAAAACAACAGCATCAAAGATAACTTCAAGAATTCAAAATATGAGCTGGGCACAGTGTGCACAGCTGTCATCCCAGGGGCCTGACACAGGAGGATCAAAACTGTGAAGCCAGCCTGGGAACCTTAGCAAGAGCCTGTCTTAAAGTTTTTAAAAGGGCTACAGCTGTAGGTCAGCGCTGCCTGGGTTCACCCCCACGTAATGACCAAAAAAAACTGAAAGCGTATCTCAGGGCTGATTCCACTAAAGGTTAAATGTAATATGCTAATGTAACTTCTGGTGGCGTGCTGTTTTACGACACCTGTCAGTGTAGACCCTGGCATATTGAACACCACCCACTCACCAACAACATATAAGCAGCCATGAAGCTCGCTGACTCCATTGCCTGCTCGTCGCTGGCCCATGTCTTTCACTTCTATCCACTTGTCCAGATGTGGGTCGTACCTCTCCACACTAGACAAAGAGGCCACGCCGTCATTGCCACCAACCGCATAAACATGGCTCTGAATGAAGAAAAACAAAACACGTAGCGTGAGAATTTGAATGGCCCCATAGACGGTGCTGATGGGCCACCCGGTCAGCGGAGCGGCAGTGTCTCGGGGAATGATACAGCAGGAAGCAGGACGCACGCACAGTGAGATGAGCAGCGCTTCAGCGCGCACGGCAGGCAGCCCGGTCACTCACCACAAGAGCCACGGAGCCGACGCCGCCGCGGGGAGTGTTCATCGGGGCCACCACACTCCACTGGTTGGATTCGATGTCGTACCGCTCCACGTCATTGAAGCAAGTGTTGTCGTCCAACCCTCCGATGGCATATATTGGGCCTCCCAAGGAGGCCAGGGCAATTCCTCGCCTGCAAAAGCGGTGAAACACATTTTAGCACTGGGATTTAGTTCCAGGAAGCAAGCAGCAGGGAAACCTGTGCAAATGCAAGTCATCCTCCCATTACCCTTCAGAGTACGACCTGTTTGCATGATCTAGACCAACGCGTCTGAGCACACTCTCGAGGGGAACAGAACTCCTTAAAGTTGTGCAGTGCACAGCCTACGCTGGCTACTTTAAACTGAGATCAAATAAGGAAGTAAAAGCCCAACAAAATAGTATGAAGAAGCCCAAGACAATGAGTAAGCTGCAAACTTCGAGGTGCATGGGTTGTCAGGAAAGCGGTCTGCTGTGAGGTCAAGAGCCAATCTTACTTCGGAGTCCGCGCATCTGCAGAGCTCCTTCTGTTACAGGTCTCGTTATACCACCACCACACGGCCATTCATTCGCTTTTACGCTACAAGCTTCCCATCGCCCAGCTTTATTTTTGAAAAGCATTCATTTTTTTTCTTTGAAAAAGAGAGTCAGCCTTTATCTAAACCTAGTTCATTATAACCATGGTCAGAAAAAAAGTTCCCAACTTCTCGTAGAGCACACTGCAGCAACAAAAAGTTGAACTGTGCTAAAACTATCCTCCGACTTGGACACCAAATAGTATACGTCAACCTCAAGTACTCTGCTGCTGCTTCTGAAATACAGCTGCTGTTAATGGGTTAGTAAAGGTAAACATTTAGAACGATGTCTGGCCCACATTTAGCACGAGTATTTCTTATCCAAAATGTCTGAGATTAGGAGCACAGCGTACATGCCTGTAACCCCAGCGCTCTGGGAAGCTGAGGCTAGAGGACTGCAAGTTCCAGCCCAGCAGGGGCAATTTAGTGAGACTGTCTCAAAATAAAATGGCTGGGATGTAGCTCAGTGCCAAGGCCCTGGGTTTGACCTCCAATACTGCCAAAAAAAAAAAAAAAGAAAAAGAAAAAAAGGACAGCATATTAGATTTTGGATGTTTCTGGGCTTTAGAATGTCTGCATAAACTTTATTGGTTCAGCATCCCTAACCCAAACTCTTCCAAAATCTGAAGTTTTTCAGCACTAAAAAATTTCAGGATTTTTGTCTTTTTGAGACAAGGTTTCATTATGCATTTCAGCCTAGCCTTGGACTCACTTTGTAGCACGGGCTGGCCTCAAACTCATGGCAATCCTCCTGCCTCAGCCTCCCAATTATAGGCATGATAGGCACATAATTATATAATTATAGGGATTATAGGCATGCACAAGTTTCAGGTTTTAGAGCATATTCGATTGCAGATTTTGTAGGCTCAGTCTGTCCTGGAAAAAACGGTGAGTTCAAAGACCCCAGCTCTGAGCTCACCGGAATGTCCTAGGAAGGAATTACTAGGGATGACGTCACCACTCTTTCAGTCTCCCTAGCCTCATTCCTCTGGCGTGGAAAGCGATGACTTAGTACCGTGGTTACAAAACCCCTGGGTCTGTACGAACATGTGTGTTCTAGAGCAGAAGGGCATTAAACGGGGCTAAAGTAAGGGTGCCTACTAGTTCTCCCTCTCCCCCGAACCACAAGAGCAGGTACCATCACCGGCTACTTTCTACTCTTCAAAACGCTCCTCAGGCTGGGGCTGGGGCTCGGTGGCAGCATGAAGGCCTGGGCTCAGTCCCCAGTCCCACAGAAACCCAGCCAATCAAACACAGGAACATTCTTGTGGCTTTCATAAGCGCGCACATCTGGTCCCCCTGCCTTCCCAGCTGGGGCGCTCCCGTCCTCTCCCTGTGCCCTCCACCACCCAGCACTCACTTCCAGAGCTCCCGCTGGCTCTGGCTGAAGCCCTCTCGGTACTGTCTATGCTCCTCTCCCTAAGCCCCCTCGTTCCCCCCGCAGAGCTGTAACAGCGCCAATGCACGTTTTCAGGCACGCGCTCACGTTCTGCTTCAGATCTGTCTTGCTTTCACGTGAGGCGAAACCTGCGCTGCTGGCTGAATTTTCAAGCACCCCCTGCATGGCCATCTGCTGGTGCTGCCCCGGAGCTAGGCTACACCAACTGGCCGAAGGGAAGTGACCTGGGGGGCCCAACCTAATTCCCTACATGCGCTTTACGAGCAGGGAGCTTCCGTCAGCTTCTCGTGAGGAACTCAAAGCACAAGTGCTCCAGCATACGGATGCCTCTCTGCAGACACAGGGCGAGTGCGGGCAGGACCTGCCCGTGCCCCCATCCAGCCAACGGCTCACAAAACTGGGACTCAGCGCTGCACCATGAGGACGTGAGTTCCAAGTGAATCACCCAGAAGTGGCTTCGCCCCCGGAACCTCCAGGAAGGGCCTAGCTCAGCCAACGCCTCGTTTCTGGCCTTGCAAGAACGGAAGCAGGAGACCCTGGTAAGCCAGCAGGACTTCTGGGCTGCGAGTTCTACGGGTGTTAGCGCCACTAACTCTGCAGGTGTCTGCTAGACAGCAACCCACAGCTAAGGGTGCCCACCTCCTGGTCCAGGGCCAGCCCCACGCCACCTAGCTGCTGAAGCCAGAAAGTAAGGAGGCGTTTCTGCCTCTCCCTACTCCTCCCAAACTGGCTGTACACCTCTGAACAATCTCTCAAACACCTCCTTTTTCCTCTACGTCAATTTCTACGACGTCAGACCAAAGCCATTACTTCCTGACTAAACAAAGACTTCTGCTCCGCCAGACAGTCTTTGCTATTGTGGTCCTCCAATACGGTCTCCATCTTTTTTTGTTTTGTTTTGTTTTTTCTCCAGTACCAGGAACCGAACTCACGACCTTGCACTTGCCAGGCAGGCGCTTTGCCGCTGAGCTAAATCCCCAGCCCCATGGTCTCCATCTGATATGCACAAGGCCTGATCACAGAAATCCGATCTTCCTGTTAACCTTCTAGTTAAAATATAAACACACATACATGCACACACATCCCCTATAAAGACCCACCAAGAAAAAGGGTGGCTTTTTGGAAGGCTGCCGCCCTTGGCCTATGCTCTGCACTTCATTTCCCAAGACTCCGCCCTGGGGCTCCAGCCACAGGGGACCGGCTTTCAGACACTCTCTGCTCTTCCTCCTCCGGGCGTGGAGGCCACCATGTCTTCCCACCCCCCACCTTGACCTCAACTTTCAACCACCTATTGAGGTTGAATTCTTTAATTCTTGCAGATTGGGAGTTAAGTGAGACTTTATTAAGACCCTCCCCATTTATGAAGCTTTCCCTGAGCTAATATTGCTTTCATATATGTCACATATATGTGCTTTATTTATACTTTACCTTCTTGAATGTCAGCTGCAGAGGGCAGGGACTTTGGCTACTTTATTGCTGGTGGCAGAAAGGGGAATGGTATCTTCATTACTTGGTATGAATTGCAGTGGGCATTTAAATTTTATTGTTAGATAAACAAATTAACACATAAACATGCTTAGTTAAGAATTTCATTAAAAATAGAGCTTGAATAAACATCAGGGTGTATTTCAGTGCAAAAATGAAAAGGGGCAGAAAGAAGGAACCAGGTATTTACATGCAAAAATTATGTTGAAAGGCTTAATAAAAACACAATTTGGTGAGACTTCTGGGAAGATTGAGCCTCTCTGATATTTAGTGTCTAGACACTGGAATATTGCAACATGAGCAAGAGGAGGGAAGTGGTCCCAATTAAAATACCATTAGTATACCTCACAGATCTAGAGAAAACATTCCTAAAATACATCTGCAACCAAAGGGACCAAGAATAGTAAAAGCAATCCTGGGAAAAAAGGAAAGGCAGGAGGAATCCTAATTCCTGACTTGAAATTAAACTACAAAGCGACAGTGATAAAATCAGCATGGTACTGGCAACAAAACAGACCTGAGGCTCAATAGAAAAGACTGGAAGATGCAGACACAACTACAGACACGCTCAGCCACCTTATCTTTGACAAAGGGGCCAACATGTTCACCAGAAAAAAGATAGCCTCTTTAATAAATAGTTCTGGAAAAACTGGCTTTCTTGGACCCATGTTTACAGTAGCACAATTTGTCAAAGCTAAATCTTGGAAATAACCCAAATGCCCATCCACTGAGGAATGGATAAAAAAGATGTGGTATCACAATGGAATATTACTTACCTATAAAAAAGATAAACTCGAGGCTTTTATAGGTAAATGGATACAGAGACTATACTCACAAGTGAAATAAACTGGACACACATGTGTAGACATTGTGTTATCTCCCTGGTGTAAGAACATGGAAGAGTAAGTGGAACCCAAAATGTACAATAGATGTTGGGAAAGGGAAAGAAGCTGCTCAAAAGAGGAAACAGCTGGGATGAGGGAAAGGAGAAAAGGAAAGAAAGAAGGAAAAATATATGTACGGGAGGATGCTGGGATAACTGTACTGCTGATGTCTGGTGGTTTGTTAAAAGGAACAGTTAATACTTTATTTTTTTGACCAATTTTGCATGCTTATATCTGGTAATCTGAATAATTAATGTGAAGACAACAATATACAATGTAAGAACCATTGTTGAATTCCTATCATCTTGTTTTGAAATCCTGTATCATTTTTATTGTTTTAATGTTGTTTTGTTTTTGTCTGTTGTGATTTTGTTATTGTTGTTTTCTCTTTAAAATAGAAAAAATTTCTCAGATAACCATAGAGATAGTGATCATAATGCAAGACATGCTCAGTGACTCTAAAGCAGATACAGATTTTTTTTAAAAATGAGAGTTTAGGAAAATAATGGAAACCATTAATACCCCAAATAGGAAATAAATGGAATCCATTAAAGAGATTCAGATAGATATCCAGATTAAAAATTCCACTGAAAGCACACAGAATGAACCAATGTGAGGACAGAATTTCTGATGGAGAAGACATGATTTCAGCAATCATTAAAGAGAAAGACTTCTTAAAAATAGTAAAAGATCATGAAAAATCAATATAGCAGCTGCTCGGTGATGCAAAGAATAACAATGTAAGACTGACTGGAGTCAATGAAAAACAAAAGACAGACCAAATGACATAAAAGAACATGTTCACAGAAGT